CCGCGCTGGCGGGGGGGAGGAGGGGGGAAGGAGTGCTGTGGTGTTACCTGGTGGCCCGAAACTCCCCTCTGCCTCGCGGTGCGGGGTTACAGGCTTTGGCGTTGCCCGTCTTTAGCGATTTCTGGGAAATAAAGGATATTTTTGCCGTCTTATTTTTCCTGTCAGCAGGCTGCAGAGGGGCTGGGTGACTGCTGTGAGGAGGTGAGGGTGCCTGGGCCGCAGGGAGAGGGGACAGAGAGCCGCGAAGGGGAAAAGAGGCTTCAGGGACAGGTGAGAAGCAGGAGAGGCCTCAGTGCTGTAAGGCTGTGTGGCGTTTCAGCTTGCTTTTTTTATGTTTTATACTTAAAGCCAGCTGGAAAACATGCTCTGAATGTTTCTGGTCGAAAATAAGTACAAACCTAACTTGAATAACCTCCTCCAGTGAGCCACTGCCAGCCACTCGCTGTTGAAATGGACTGATGACTTGAGCAGGGTTGCATCCTATGTTTAGTTTAGTTACGCTCAGTACTTTTTATTACCAAAGGGCGGCCATAAAGACAACTTATGCATGAAATAAAACTACAAATATGGTGTTGGGCAGGATTGGAATTCAAAAATACCTGGACAAATTGGAAAAAATGGTCTGGAAAAAACAGGATGCAGTTCAATAAGGATCTGTGGAAGGTCTTGTGCTTCAGCAGCAATATGAACTCCACGAGCACAAGGAGGGGGCAGCAATAGGTTAAGTAGCAATTCTTCAGAGCAGATCAAAAGCTGAATGCAAGTCAGCTATGTCATGATGTAGAGGTGATGGAAAAATAAGTTGAGTAGAAATGTGGAGTAATTGGATCCAGCCCGGCGGAGAGCAAGGAGAACAACCGGAAGTCTAGAAACCATTACCTGTGAGAAAAGCTTGAAACAACTAAACTTCTCTAACTCAAACGAGGAGGGAGAGAACTAAAGGCTTTAAGTACATAAAAGGAAATAATCTTTTCTCCTCTGTGATGGAGAAGATAAAAGGCTTAAATCACTGCAGGAAGGACTCAATTTAGATGTTAGGAAAAACTTTCTAATGACAAGGATAATGAAGAATAGACTGCCTGGGGAGTGGAGAGCTTTAAGATCAAGTGAAGCAACATCTGTCAGGGATGTCCAAGGTTTAGGTGATCCTGCCTTGCGTTAGAGGGATGGACTAGTCTGACCTTTCAAGGTTCCTTTCAACCCTAATTTATCAGTGGTTCTGCAGGCTGACATTAATCTTCTTAATGGTATTTAAACAGTCAGCAGCTTCTCTTAAGTAACTGCTAGCAAAGTCTCTCTTGCCTGCGGTTTAAAATTAACTTAATTTCCATGCATCACTTTCACCCTCCAGCTCCCAGGTCCTGCACAGCCAACCAGCAGATGAATTCCTTGAGCACTTGTTGGTACCTTGCTTGTGGATCAATAGCTATCCTCAATGAAAAAGAAGGGTTAGAAATGCTAGATACAGGTGGCTGTATTTTCAGTGTGAGGGTGTCGTCCTTTTCTGCCTGTATATGTAGGAGATATGGTCCCCTTTCTTGTAGTAGTGTTAA